CCCCCCTCCCCCCGCCCACCCGTCTCCTCATAGGGAAACGTCAAGGCTCGATCTTTCATCAAATAAGCTTTCAAACGCTTCCTACAGATCCGTAAAAAACGGAAATTCACTGCGAACAACTTGTTCCTTCAATAATCTGGCTGAGGACCCGAATCACATGCCTCAGCTATCGGTTGGGGGCCCACGGCTAGTCGTTAACGATCAGAGATTAGGATGTAGTAGTGCATGAACTGAATTCTAGCGTGGAATGAAATGTTTTTGAGGCACTACGTCTATTGCATTTTATTTCACGACGAAGTCACTGTAGTCACCGAGTTCATGCCATGAATTTTTGTTCTTGTCGTACTTTATTTTCACAGTATACCATGTTTTTTTGTTCCATTTATGGTCCATTAGCAATAGCTGACTAGCTGTAAACTACCAGATGGGTCGCATCAGGGATCATAAAACTTAAGCACTTGTGCATATGCGAGATTCGTGACGTAACCAGATAAAAAAGCCCTACTGCTGTCATAATGCCTGTGTATTCGAAGTTTTATGCTATACTCGTTTGATACTTTTCAGTAAGCTTCAGTTTGGTTTTTTTGTATCCATTTCTCTACATTTTTTCTGTAGCATCTTCTAGCCCCCTTACGTTTATCACCAATATCTCGGTGAAATTTTAACAATTGATTTAGCAGAACCGCAACACACTCATAAGGTCTTATTTTATCGTACTCCATCTTTTCTACTTTGTAATAGCAGAGAACCGATTAACCGGCTCTGCTAAAAGAAGAGCTGCGATTTGTCATAGTAAGTGAAGGTTATAAATAAGAAGTGTTAGATCGTTGCTAAGTCAATCCGTCCCCCAAAAAACGCCAAATTGTTCCTAAGAACGGCTTCACTCGTAAACGCTTAATTGCTCTAGGGACATGTCAGACGTAGCAAAAAAAAGAGTCTTTCATGATCATGGTGGAGTGGGAAATTACGACAAGTACACATGAATTGACTGGCACCATCTCTGGGCACCTAGGTTCGTTCTAGTGTGAATAAGCCAGCAAGAGCTTTTCTGAGGAACGGTGTCATAGAGGCCTTTAATCAAGTTTTTCTGAGAGGATAAAGACTTATAGAAGGGCGAGGGTTATATTTCACTTGTATCACCTGTCTCTGTTGATCATCGATTTCTTCTAGTGGACTCCAGTAGAGTCTTCGTTAATCTCCTCCCGCAGCCACCATAATTCACTGAGCTCCGGTCCCGATTCGTGAAGTACTTACTCGTTCCTACTCTTACCATGTGTTCATTTTGCAGTTAGCGAAGGAAATTTGTTCGTAAAGTATCAGATTGAGGGTAAGTATCTGCCGAGAATCTCACGATTGTCCAGATTTCTCGCGGAATCTCTTGGAAGCTTCCATAGGTCTGGGGTTTCTATTTAAGGGAATTCCCATGCGAATACGCGCAACACATCCGACTAACATCCTTGCTTATTTAACCATATAATGACCGAACTGTCCATCTATAATCTCCAATTATATGATTAGTGGTTTACCATACAATAATTTTTTGAACATTTTTGCAATTTTACATGGATTTCAATTTTACTTGACTTTGTGCCACCACTCGGTCCGTGCAGCCCTATCATCTGAGCGGGCTGAGTTTGTTCGATCACTCAGAAAACCAAGAAAACAAACAATAATTGCACATTAAACCAGAAGTACTGACTCTTTTAATGTTGCGACTGACTTTTACGAGGCATTATTTATCAAGAGATTATCATTGCTCAAGAAAAAACAAGAAGATGAAAGCAAGGGCGCTTGTTGTGTTTTAGTGCGTGGCTGTTTTTTCTTTCTCACTTGGGAGTTCCTTTTTGCGGTCCTCCCCCATAATGCACCATTCGAAAGGGAGCGTGGCCGAAGGAATTCGGCGTTAGGCCAGTGCAAAGTTCATGCTAAAAAAACCTTTTTCGGCTTTTGCTCCGTAGTATGTCTCCGGGAAAAGAAATAAGTTCACTCCCCGACCCAATACTATACTCCTGTGGATTTGAAAGTCGTCGCTCAATCTCCGATCATTTCAGACCGTATGGGCGGCATGCAGAGCGGTGATTTTTGGTTGTATTGTCATAGCCGTTGGACTTGCTATGACTGTACTTGGATATTTCGACAAGCAATTCTCAGAGGTACTTTTTATTGTGATCTTTTGCTTCATATTCCTTCATTTCTTACTTCTTTTCATGGATTAACTGGAAATATTTGAACCAAACTGAGAAAGGAGTTTCCTGTGGTTTTATGCGCGCTGTATTAGAATCGGTCCTACTGATTTTATTGTCACGGATTAATAGCTTCACGATAAATTAGAATTTCCTGGAATGAGAATTAAAACGATGTAATCGTAATTTCAAACAGAGTATTTACAGTGGTATTCTTTCAGAGAATTGAAATCATCGACGGTGAGGTGAACATCTATCATGATCGTGTGGTTCAATATCAGTTAAAAAGCATGCAGGTATGTTGTATTTTGAATCATTCCTTGTATTTAGTGTGGACCCGTTTGGGATCATTTCACATATTATCATTCGTTATAATTGTAGTTATCTTTATTAATTGTTTATTATTGTTATTTACCATGCAATAACAATAACAAATAAATAATAAAGACAACCATGATTATATATATTTTGGTTGTCTTCATGTTGTTTGCAAACACGAATTTGGCTGTGCTAGCTATCCAAACTTTCCTCTTTCCTTTCCTCATTGGTCTGTTAGCAGTCGTTTAATTTCAGTACCTGGGACCAATACTGATGGGTATCGGCTCGTTCATTTTAATCATCGCATGCGTAGTGACTCTGGAGAGCAGAGACAAGCATGCCCAGGTCTTTTTCGCTTCGCTGTTGATTTTACGCATTATCATCGGCTCATCGAATTGCAGGTTATCACCGAAGAATCAATGTCGTTTAAAAAGCGACGAATGATTTCGATTGAAGAGCGAGCAGAGTTGTCTGTGAACGAAATTAGTCCTGCTGATGAGAGTTTGATGACGCTCATGGTCGAAAACCAGGCAACCGTTGATCAACACAGGTGAAAACTATTTAAAAGCATTTTCGTCATATACCACCGATAGCTTTTGAATTTTCATTTTTTATAATAACTCGCTTTCTTACGAATGATATTTCGCAATAATTCGGTTAAAATGTTACAGTATAAGCACTTTGGCCGAAGTTCATCGTCCTCGACCGGCTTCATCGCGGACAGCTCCACTGGCAGAGATTGATTCGTTGGTGAGTCAATGGCTTCCGAAAGGTGTTTTTTATAGACGAAAATGGTCCCGTAACTTGCTTCAAGTAAATTAACACTGCCGTGACATGAACTTTGCAGCAATTTTGGATTCTTGATGGCTTACTGTCAAACTTTTATTTCTGTCGTGTATCCAAATAATGGCGAAGAACACATAGAGTTGCCGGGAATGGAAGTTATCGGTCGTAGCCAATTTTGTTAAGTCAGCCCAGAGAAAGCGCAGTCTTCCCGGTTTTCTAGCTCTGTGTTTCACGATTTCGATCTGATTTCACCAGAGTTAGTGAGGATGGAGTTTTACAAAGGGTCCTGTATTTTTGGATGTAGAAAATGGTTCAGAAGATTAGTCAGTTGCAGCTATGTTCTCAAATTTCAGGATTTGCACTCCTGTTCAAGTCAAGTAACAACTGATCGAGAGCTTCCAGCCGGGAACTCTGAATCGAGAGAAACCTAGTTCTGGTCATTATTCAACAAGATCCTACTATTCCAAATGGATGTTCTCAGTTTCTCAACTAATATTGTGAGAACACATGAGATGGCCTTCTCAAATCGAGTGAGAAGGTCCAATGCTCAGTCCCGCTGTCCAAGTTTTGCGAAGCTGTCAATATAGAGCTGCTGTGGATGTCAACTTATCGTCGTTCACAACACATTGAATGTTTTTCCATAACTTTTTAACTGGCAACACTACCGACATTGTACATGCCGCAGTTTTGAGGCAATTTGCAAATGGTCAAATGAGTTGCGTTGAGGAAAAGGGATGAAAAGACTATAAGGAAAGAAGTTGAAAATTTAATGCCATTACCATTGACGTTCTTTCTCTTCTATGTGGAAGTTTCACTTAAAGTTGATTTCCCGAAGACTGCGTATTCAATCGCTACTGATCGGTAATCCTTGTGTTGATATTGATTGAATCAATAAACTCCCTTATTCTTTCTCAACTTCAAAACACTGTTCTTTTGATTTCATTACAAAGATTGGGCGAGTGAAATTGTTGTCTTCATTATCCTTACGGGTTACCTAATCCCTCTCTCATTCTGTTCGATCGATTTGTGGAATTTTCTGTCTTCGTTAAAGCTTACGGGTTTTGTTTGTTGTTATTTGTCTGTATAAACATTTATTTGATGTTTATTTTTTATTTTTACAAATCGCAGAAGACGAGTTTTGACGCTCTACCAATACCATTTTCCTCGGTTTTTCTGGAGTGCAATTAGCTGTTGTCGGGTTAGCGGAATTCTGACATATCCGTTGCAGTCTGTCCTTGACAGCCAATTTGATCTGCATTTTCCGAAGATAATCCGTTCGCTTTTTGTATTTCTGAAATTTGCAACTGAATTATTCGGGTTTATAGATTTTGCTCATAAGCGGGTCTTAAGAAATCAGCCGTTAGATATAGAGCACGCTTCGATTTGGATTTCCAGCGGATCAGCCTGCCACACCACCAGAGGTAAGCCTTCATGCCGGTTCATACGTTTAGGATGGGAACGTTTAACTTTACGGTTTTCTATAAAATTACCATGATTGGGCCCCTTGGACCTTTCTAATGTTTCGTCATTAATGTTATTGTGGTAATTATACTCCTAGTACTCCGTTAGTACACCCTACTTAAGGAGAACCTCAGTATTGTTGGGTTCTAGATAAGTTTCTCGTTAACCAGGGGATTCATTTTCATTTTTGTTATCCACGAATGTTCGTCATCACGAGCAAATGACTTACTATTTTCTCATGTTTTTCGAGTGCGTCCCATTGGGCGGCCACGATCCTTGAAATGTCGCCAAATGTTGCGTGTGGGAATGACTTCTTCACATAAGTCTGACGTTCTTTGAAGAACATTGCATAAGCCGACACGAGTTTATTGGAATCGCTGTCAGTTCTGAAAGTGGCGATTTAGTGCCGCTGATCACCTGTCAACCTTTTTTTAATCAACATCTAAGGGCTCTTTTGTTACCAAAATTAGTTAATTCGCTGATTGATAGAGACGATCATTTTTATCAGATGGATACTGAGTTCATAGAATGCCGAGCTTCAAGGAAAACCGAACAAATTACAGTCTCTTAATGAAGCACTAAGAAAGGGGATTCAGGGATAACACAATGACATAATAATCAAAGTTGTTCTCTTATTTGAAGGATTTGAAGACACACTCAAAATATTAGGTGCACATGTTGGCCTATCTAATAACTATGCAATACGTATCACATATTCAATATTTTCGAATTTCAATGATTGTTTACCACGCGTAATTTTTTCTCCCTTATTTGAGACTATAGGAGTTTCAGAGTAGTAAAATTATTTAAATTTTAAAAGAAATTACGTACCAACTTCGTATTTCAATTGTACTATTGGAAAAACAAAACATATACCCTGTTCGTGAAGTGTCGTCCATTCAACCCTTGATGAAACTGTAGTTTTTTATGCATGACTGCATATACTATATTTCAATTGTTAGCAGTTTTTTTTTT